ATTTTAGAACTACTGAAACAAAAACCTAAGACTATAAAAGTTCAATTGCCTCCGGACAAACAAAATGTAAATATTTATTCTTCAATATTCTTTAGCTTTCTCTCCAGCATTTATTAAAAGGTGTTAAAAAAATAGCTCGAAGGAGCGGTGAGGTGAACTCTCGATCATCGCATTGGCTACAAAAATTTTTTATTATTGTTATAATTTAAATGTTAATAGTGAATGTTAAAAGCGTAAATTCCATAAGGTTGTTGTGTCCTGAAATATTTTTTTAGTGGTAGAGAAATATTAAGTTTAACGTCTTAGCATTGCACAAAAATCTAGCACGCAATCAGATAAGAGAGAGGGTGTAGCATTAATAAGAGGCACCATAGTTTTTAAGTGGAAACCCCTGAAAAGGGGAAAAACCCACGGAGTTTGGCCCAGTTTGAATGAATCAACTAGTATTTGCAGTCGACAACAAACAAGGCCCTTCCTTAGGAGAAGGCCCTGGCTTGATGTCACAAATATACATCATATATAGGACATTACATGGTGGGAGCTACAATAATCAACATAGATGTGTTTGTTTGGTTGGAAGGGCCATAGTTGGTATGAGACAAGGGTCCGAATGATCGTGGTAGAAGGGCAGTACTCTGGGAGAACTTTAAGCGTCAAGCAGTGGCCCAGAAGAAGTTCGGGCATCAGGTGGTGGTCTGGTGGAGCTCAGAGCCTCAAGTGGTGGTCCGACAGAACTCTGAGAGTCAGGTGGTGGTCTAGCAGAAGTTGGGACCTCATGGTGGTGGTCCGGCAGAACTCTGGGCATCAGGTGATGATCCGACGGAATTACGGGCCTTAGGTGGTGGTCCTGTGGAAGCCTGGGCCTCAAGTGGTGGTCTGACGGAAGTCTGGGCATCAGGTAGTGGTCCGGCAGAAGGTGACGGCCTCAAGTGGTGGTCCAACGGAGCAATGATGTCAAGCGGTGGTCCGGCAAAACTCTGGCGGTTGTCGAGGAGGCAAGAGCGATGTCTGATCTCTCTCTCTCTTGCTCTCTTGATTGGAGCCTCCCCCTTTTCAAGAGAAAGGAGTGGTCTATTTATAGATTTCTGGAGCAGAATGACCCTTAACTATGTGAGAGATCAATGGTAAATGAGGATTTGTTGGATGGACGGCCGATGTTGAATCCCTTGATTGTGGACCGTTCGTTAGACATTTAAATGTCTTAATGATGTCGGAATTCTATGATCTTGGGCTCGTTGGATTCGTCTCGTCGAGTCGCTTTATTCAACTATAAGCACATTATGTTTGGAATCTGTTTGGTAATCCAAATTGCTTTTTAAACCTTCCAACAACGCTTCTAACCCTTGATTTGGACCTGTTTGGGCTCGGATTGGGTTGGATTTGGTGTCGTTGGATTTGTATTCTTGAGATGCTCAATTCGACTCTAAGTTTGCTGAAATCGGAGTTCAGATGGTCCCAATTTTAATTTCTGAAGTTTTCAACTTTATTTTGCATCGAGATTCGTGCCTAATCAAGATAATTTTTTAATGACATATCAAATGTAAAATTAAAATTAAAATTTTATAAATGGATAATTTAAAAAAATATTACTCAAACAACATAATTATTAAAACTCCATTTTATGAAACTTCTTTTTCTCAAGCTCTTTTTTCCCTTAGCAAAAACAAAATTAAACAAAGCTTTAATCGACTCATAGAAGTTGTTTTCTAGAAGTTTTCCCTTTAGTGATTAATATTGTACACTCATATATATCTATATGGATAACTCTTAAGTAACAGATATATACATCTACAGGTACTAGGCTGAGAGGAGGTGAGGTACGGTTGCAAATATGTACTTACGACCACCACTGCAGCCCCCGCTTAGACTTCATTTGAGATATCATTCTTGTTATTTTCTAAGCTAACTTTTTAATTCAATCATTTCTAATTCAAAATCATTTTTTAATTAAAAAGCGGGTTAAAAAATAGTAAAAAAATAATCCCGGCCCAAACGAAACCTTACAGAAAGATCCGACCATACGGAAGAAGGGGTGTCAAAAATGAGTTACAGGTCCGATTTGGGCCTTTCTGTAAGGAACATGCATATTTAAGCTAGAAATTTTGAATGGCTGCATTAACTTGATTTGTTTCATTGTTGCACAACAAGCTTCCTAATTGGTCTGACTTTCTGTTTTAAAAGCTTAGTAGCTGGGTGCGAGTCTTTTAAATACATACAATAATATACAGTTGGTATCCAGTGGAGATCCTGAAGCAGCAATAAAATCAATTTTGGCTTTATTGGGAGAATGTTAGGTCTGATGGACGCTTATGTGTGAAACTGAAATAATAGAGTTGGCTATCATTGGCTATCATTGGACGGTCTGATGCTAAAACCAAGACAGTTTTCCTTCTAAGATTGAAGCAGTACACATAATGGACAAAATGTAATCGGAAGTTGATAGCCGGGTGATGTCGATGGTCAAGTGATAATATTCAGGCGATGATCAATAAATTTCAGTCTGGCAATCATAATCGACCAGGAGACTACATCGTTCGACAATGGTCATGTGATAATGATCAAGAAATGGCGATTGTGAGATGCTTGACAAGCAATGACAATCCAGAAATAGGGGATGGACAATGAAGATCTAGCGATGATAGTTGGGCGATGATTATTGCTGGCAAAGATCATAGACTTTAAATGGCATGTAAAGTTTAGAGCTCTTCCATGCTTTCTCAAGTATTAAGTTAAGATCCCCTTCATATAAAATATGAGTTTATTAATATTTTTTGAGAATGATTGTAAAATTATCCGAAAATTGCATGATACTTTATCAGATTGTCCTGATTGAATCATTTAATCAAATGTTGTTCATTCATCATTTATGTAGCTTAATGATCTCAAAATTGAATGATCTTAAACTCATTAAATTCTTGTTATCGAGATACTTGACTATAAGCATATAAGATTATCATATCATTTATTCCTCTAATTAATATCCAAAAAGCTTTTATGATATTTTAAGTGTTTTATTTGCACTCGTTTCGTATCTAATCAGATCACTTTTGTCAGAATATTCAATTTGACTATAAATTAGTTGAAATCAAAAACTTTTTAAAGTAACCCAATTCTATTCAATTTGACTATAAATTTGTCTGGTCATATTTTAGGAACAATAGATCCTCATAAATTTTTATAAAGTAAACCAATTCTATTTCAATCACTAAAACTTCCATAGTTACATTTCATTAATCTGAAACAACATAAATTCAAAAAAAAAAAATCCCCCATTAATCTTAAGATCTGGTACAGAACTACACGAATCCCGTGCCAATAAGTCCACTATGCAACAAATTACGCGCCATATTCTCCCTGGCGTTCATCGCCGTCAGCGACCGCAATCCATTCTCCGGCGTCATCTCATCGTCGAAAAGCTCGTATCCCATCTCCTCCCTCCCCAGTTCCTCCCCCCTCATCTCACATATATTATGCAGAACACAGCAAGCCCCAAGCACCACCGGCAAATCCTGCAACTTCACCTCTGTTCTCTTCTGCAAGCATCCCCACCTCATCTTCAGCCTTGCGAAAGCCTCCTTCCCCACCCTCTGCGCCTCCCCAATCCTCTCATTAAACGCGTGCTGCGCCCATGTCAAGTTCCTCTGCGAATAAGGCACCATAGCCCAATCCAGAAGCGGATAGCTAACCCCCCCTACAATCCAATCGTCCTTCAGAATTCCACACTGCGACGCCAATTGATAAAGGGCGGATTTTTCAAGGACCTGCTCATCCGACATGGATCCCGGCCACCCGATACAGACGTCCGTGAACACCCCGTCGGGATTCACCACTCCCTGCACGCTGATCGAGTAAGACGTCTTCTGATTCCGCTCCGTGTGGCGCCGATTGAAGTAAGACGCGACGTTCTCTTTAGGAGCGATGATGGGGATATGAGTTGTGTACATCGCCCCGACAATGTTCGGGATCCCTGAAACCAACTCGAATTTTCTCCGGGCATCGGCGAGGGCCGTCGGGTCGTCTGGCCAGCGAAGGAATTTGGGCATGAGAACGGATTTGATGGCGGCGCAGACCTCGAGGACGAGTTTGTGGCAAGTTGAGATGCCGAGACCGAAGCGCTTGGAGACGAGACGGAGGGGTTCCCCTGTAGCGAGCCGCCAGATGCAAACCGCGACGCGCTGGCAAACAGGAATCGCGGCGCGGAGCATTGTATCCTCTTTCGCAACCGCGGCGCCAAGCTCTTCGCAGATCATGTCGAAGGTTCCCCGGCTCATACGAAACGCGGCGCGGAATTCGGATTCCGGGAAATCTGGGCGATTGCACTGGTCCCACCAAGCGCGTGAGCGCTCCTTGACCCAGAGGCGTCGGGGAGGGGGAGCCGGCGGCGCCTTGCTGGAATCGTCGGATTCGGATCGGGGGTCGGAGTCTTCGGGGGCGGCGCGGCGGGCTCTCTTGGCCGGTGGCATTTCAGGGAGAAAGGAATCGTCTTGGAGAAAGGAGAAGTAGAGAGAGAAGTCGGCGTCGTCTAAAGGGGCCACGCCGGTGGTGGCTGGCAGGAAGGTAGAGTTCGTAAGCATTCGCAGGAATGAAGATGAGAAGGTTCGATGAGTGGGTGATGGAGTTTGAGAAAAAAATGGCGGCTTGGGAGATTTATATAGGTTATGGGATTTTGGCTGAATTGGACGGAAAAGAACGCGGTTGCGGCGTACTACATAGGAAGGAAGCTCCATGACTGACCTCCAAACCGCGGCTCACGCGGGCAGGGCCATTTTTACTTATTATATTCACCGTGTGCCACGTGCAATAAGTAGTAACGTGGCTTACCGTGGAAGAATATTAAATGATGATATGTCTTTTTTTTTTTTTTTTTTTTTTGAGGAATTTTGGAGCCTAAGCTCATATATTAAACTATGTCTCTATAAAAATTTCTATCTAAAATTTAGACTGATTTTAAAATTAATATAATATATAAATAATTCATATTATATAAATCATTAAATGAAGACTTTTTTAAAGGGCAATTTTTTATTATTTTATTTTTCACATGATTTCAAATTTTTTCTTGATCGTTATTTTTTATCAATTAAAAAAATTATAAGTAACTAAAAAAAGTGTATTCTTCATAACAATTTTATAATTATTTTTATAAAAAAATACTATCATCCTAAATAAATTGAAGGCTTCATTTGTGATAATTTTTTTTTTTATTTTTTATAGTATTTTCTTAGCACAAATTTTTTTTAAAATTAATGGCCAAGTGCTATAACTAATAGACCCTTAATGATATTGTTGTGTCCTGGAGTATTCGTGGCGGTAAAGAAATATAAAGTTTAAAGTCTTAGCGTTGTACGAAAATCCAGCATGCAATCTGATAAGAGAGAGTGAGTAGTATTTATGAGACCAAGATTTTTACGTGGAAAATCCCTAAAAGAGGGGGAAAAACAACGGGGTCTTGCCCAATATAAATGAATCCATTAGTATTGTAGTTGATTATAAATGAGGTCCCTCCTCGGAGGAAGGCCTTAGCTTGATGTACATCTTATAAAGTATATTACATTATGAGAATATAAAACATCACTGTTGATGCGCTTGTATGATATGAAGGACAGTAGTTGGTGTGCGACGTAAGTCAAAAGGATCGTAGTCGGCGGGCGACGGAGGTCGGAAGGACTGTAGTCGGCGGGCGACGTTAGTCTGAAGGACCGTAGTCGGTAGGCGATGGAGGTCGGAAGGACTGTGTCTGGTAGAAGTCCATCAATGGACAGAAATCCAACACCAAATAGACATCTGGTGAAAGTCTGACAATTGGTAGAAGTCAAGCGTCAGGTAGAAATTTGGCAAAGAGCAGAGGTACAACGTCGTAGAAGTCCGACGTTAGTTAATGACTGAGGAAAACTCCAACGTTAGATTGTATTCGGCGAGAATTCAGGTGTCACTTGGAGTTTGGGTGAAACTCCAGCGTTACTTGGAGGTCGAGCAAAATTTTGGCGTCACTTGGAGGGCGGGAGGAATTCCGGCGTCACTTGGACAGAATTCTATTGGTGGTGGTCGAGGAGGAGTTCTTCCCTCCTATCATTTTTCTCTTCTCCTTCTTCTCTTGATTCTTGCTTGGGCCCCCTCTCATGAGAAATGAGGGGTCTATTTATAGATTTTCTGGAGTTGCATGGCCCGTAAATAGGTGAGAGATCAGGGGCAAATAGAGAGTGATCGGATAGACGACCGATATTGAATCTTTGATCGTGGACCGTTCTTTATGCATTTGAAGACCTTACTGATATTGAAATTTGGCGATCTTGGGCTTGTTGGATTCGTCTCGTCGAGCCGCTCGATTCGACTATAACCACGTCATGTTTGAAAACCATTTGATAACTCAATTTGTGGTTTGAACCTTCTAACAGCACTTCGGGTCCTTCATTTGGACTCATTTGGGCTCAGATTGAGTCGATTTTGGTGTCATTGGGTTCGTATTTCCGAGACGATCAGTTCGACAGTAAGTTTGTTGAAATCGGAGTTCATATGATCCCATAATTAATTTTTGAAGTTTCTAGCTTGATTTTGCCTCGAGATTTGTGCCCGATCAAGATAATTTATGACGACTTATCAGATATATTGAAGTATTTTTTTGTTAATATATTTGACATTAATTTTTTATTAAAATGTCCTTCAAATTTTATCACACGTTAAAAATAAATAATTTATCAGAATTTTTTAATTTAAAATTTGTAGCCAAGTGCACGAAAAAAATTGAAGAAATGCTGACGTAATTGTTTACGATTATGTACGAAAGGGACGTGGGATTGGTGGAACGCGGGACCGTTAAGTGAGTTGGGTGTGTTTGTGGGTGTGTTTTCGGACTTGGAAGTGAACATAGCCGAGTACAAAATGTAAGCATGAGACGCGTGCGGTAAAAGAGTGTGGGTTCGGATAGAAAGGCACGTGGAGCCGATGGGATGCAGAGAGCGAGTAGATGTGACGCGGCTCGGACAAAAGACCACACACCATACAACCTGGACCGGGTTTTTTTGGCCTGGAAGTTTCTGTCCTTTTCTATGGTAATATATGCTAAGCAGCTTATCTTGATTTATTGTTGAGAGTTTTAACTATTATTATTTTCTAAATAAGTTTTTTAGCTAAAAATTTTTAAGTTAAGAAAAAAAAAAAACTATACTAGAAAGCTAGAAAATTTTCCTAAATAAAGTCTAAGAGAGAGAAAACTATGTGAGACATTATGTGAAAATTAACATAGGGATATTATTGGTCCTCAAAGGAAAAATTATTTTCATTGGGCATAAATTTAAATGCATATTTAGATTGAAAACATTCAAAATTGATTATATATTTCTCTTAGTTTTGATTTCAACAAACTTATAATTAAACTGAACGTATCAATGAGACGAATCCAATGACATCAAAAATAGTATAATCCGAGATTGAATGACCATAGATTAAACACTTGAAGAATAATTAAAAACTTTAGAACATCAATTGGATGACGAAATGATATTCAAAATTGACATTCTTTTCGTCAAATCGAACTTTCTAATGAGATGAATCCAATGAGCTTAAAATCAATTAATCTCTACATCATTATGACAAGTAAATGTTGAACAAATGCTCTATGTTCAGTGGAATCAATAAGACCCATTCGATAGTGTTTTGAATTTTTTCCATATTTATGAGATATGTCGCTCTTAAAAATTCACAAATAAATCCTCATTCTCATCTTGGAGCTTAGACTTTGGTTTGAGATTAAGGTAGCTCATAGGCTTTAAGAATCTCAAAGCTTTATTCGAACATTATCTTCAGGCCCGTCGTACCATCAACCGACTATGAGCCACTAAGCTTTGTAGCCTAGCTATGGGGAGCTGATAGTCATCGCCTGACAACGATCTTTTGATCTTCATCACGCTACAATGGTTACAATGGTCCTCTAACCATTGTAGCCTGACTATAGGTTGTCGTTATGTCACCTAACTAAACTTCTCTGTTTACTATTGCCAAACTATAACTCAATAGCCTACATCTTCCAACTATGGGCCACTAACCTCGTAACCCGGCTATGGTCCTTTTATCTTCATCACTTGAGTACGACCACATGATTACCTTCATCTAACTACGGCCTGCCGACCACTATCGCTTGACTATGGTTTGCCAACCACCATCAATCAACTACATTCTTCTAACTAACAACATCATGTGATATAATTGTCCTCCGACCTTAATCCCCCGATTATGACCCTTTGTCGTCTAATAAACTATATGAACTCTATCACCCGACTAAGGTTTTCTAATCAACATCCTATGACTATGGTCCTTTAATGGACTTTGCTCGAACATAATCCTCTGACCTTCATTACCCAACAACATTCCTTCAGACCATCATCATCAAATTATAGTCTTTTAGTCATCATTGATTGACTTTATACATCAGATCACAATTACCCAAATATGATTTTTCAACAACCATCGTTGCCCAAATACAATCCTTCAACCATTGCCGCCTAACTATGATTCTTCTACCAATGTCACATGATTACGTTCCTCCAAACTATTATATCATGATCATTATCGACTATCTAACACTACAGAAAAATCACCCATTACCGGCGGAATTTTTCGGCGGAAATTGAGCACTTTCCGACGGTTTTCGAATTTACCGGCGGTTTTCAGGAGAAAAAAATTCCGCCGGTAAAACCTGCGTAGGAAAATAAATTCCGGCGGCTTTTTCCAACGGAAAATAATTCCAGCGATTTTCCAGAGGAATTAAACCGTCGGTAAATTAAAAAAAATAATGAAAAAAATTCTTCTGATCTTTTCACTGAACGATAGAATAATACAATTAAAACTTATTTATTTAAGTTAATTATTTTAATTGATAATTAAAATAAATTAGTTAAGCAAAAATTAATTAAAATATGTTATTAAATTAATAAAAATATATATTGTTAAATAAATAATTAATTAAAATAAACTATAAAATTATTAATGAATTAAATTATGAATAAATTATTTTTTCATATATTTTTAGATTCCATCGAAAAAGCCACCAGAAAATGCACTTGAAAATTTGTCAAAAAAAATTCTAAAAAAACTGTCGGAAATCCGCCAAAATATCTTCCGCCGGTAATTTGCAATTTTCCTGTAATGTAAACGACGCCCGCTGAATTAATTACCTACACCAATGCATACCATAATTTATAAGATCAATGGACACCATCAACATCGATTATGGCTCCCAACATCAACAATAAGATTTATATTAGAATTGTAGGTCTTTGGTCTCCCCTCAAACAAATGATCTCTTGATGACAACTAATATACTATAGGGTTTTTTTCAACTTTTACAATGGAATTCATTTTGCATAGCTTGTCTATTATAGTGCATCAACACATTTCTCAATTATGGGAAATGACACAATTTGTAACTGATAACAAATACAAGTATAATCATTTTAGCTAGACCAGTCTGGCATTCCCCATGATTTTTCTCTTTTTATGAATTTTCCACGTAAAAATTCAAGTGTCTCTTACAATTCTTAAGCTCCTCTCTTATATGTGTGTGTGCTAGATCTTTGTACAAAATTAAAATATTTTACCATTTATCTTTCTACCACTACAAATGTCTAGACAAACAATAATTATTATGAATCGGCAATGTGTTTTATATAAAAATTAGTATATTATAAACCTTTTTGTTTCTACTAGTTTATCTTGATAAGAATATCAAGTATAGAGTAGAAATAAATCATAAATTTCAAAGATAAATCCAAAGAAACGCTTCAAGTGTGAGAGAATTTGTAATAGAGAATCATAAAAATTAGTCGCAAAATATAAACATAATGTATA